GCCGCCTCGCCCCAATCGAAGAACAGGGTCGGGGCCTGGCGGCCGAGGCTCCAGGGGAGGCTCGAACGTGTAGGGGAAATGATAAAACACCTCTCAACGTCCTCCCCCCCTCCACCTCCTCCTCCTCCTCCTCCTCCTCCTCCTCCCTCCTTCCTCCTCCTCTTCCTCCTCCTCCTCCTCCTCCTCCTCCTCGTCCTCGTCCTCCTCCTTCTCCTCCTCTCCTCCTCCTCCTCCTCTTCCTCCTCCTCCTCCCCCCCCTCCTCCTCCTCCTCCTCGTCCTCCTCCTCCTCCTCCTCCTCCCTTTCCTCCTCCGTCCTGATGCCCATGCGGTTTTGGGCCAGATGATATTTCGCACAAGTTGCACCGCTGCCCGACAGCTTCCCGTAGGATTTGCTACAAACACCTCATATAACCATCCTCGATGACAAGCGCCGGGACTTTCCAGTGGCATGCGTATTTTTAGAGGTGGCAGGATTCTCATTGCAACCTCCCAACGGTACGGGTATTGTGCCCCACCAGTCATGCTGCGTGGATTCCTCGGTCAGCATCCGAAGCGCCTTTCGGAGGGGGAATGATTCACCGTCGGCTCGCGCCTCAAGGACGGGCTCGCTGACTTGCACGTGGCAAGATGGGCGGTGATTAGATTCACTACAAGGGGTGACCTTGATGCGGCAGTGTGGGGGTCGGTAGGCGACCAGCACCCGCAAGCATCACTGTCAGCGGAGCATGTGCCCGTCCTGGCGCGCATGGAACACTGCCCAGAGGCAAGCGCCATCCACTCTGATTTCTTGGGGACGGTGCAGCTCGCCTCGGTGCCGTGGGCGCAAACTGTCTCCACGCACCACATCCACGCTGACTTGCGAATCCAGATCAGATCTCATCCAACCTGGGACAAATAATGGTGCCATCCATAAAGTCGGCGCGCGCAAATGCTGACACGCTGGAACCTCAGACGCGGGAGTGGTACTTGGCCAAGGTGTCTGCGAAGATGGGAGCGTCCCTACCGACGCAGCCGTCGCTGGGGGAGCGCCAGACTTACAGTGAAAAGGCCGCAACTTTGAAGCGGTACCTTTGCTACGCAGAGAAAATGCTGCTACTGTAACCTAGGCAAGCACCATCACAAAAGAAAATAAAGCCTTCCACACGGAAACGCGGAATCCACGTGTCCTGACGGGCGCATCGGCGGCCAAAGATGCGCTGCCGGAACCATAATCACGTGCCCCAGCGATGGCTCAGCCGACACGGTCAAACAAGGACGGGTCGCGCCGAATCCGCGCGCACCATCCCCCACTCCTGCCCCCACCTCCTCCTCCAGCAGCGGCTCAGCCAGCGAACGCGGCGCCGAAATCCACGACTCGCGCAGGCGAGGCAGCCTTTGCACGCCACGGCCGCTGGCCCATGGGCACCAATTCAAATGGGTGCGCAGAAGATGGACGCACCAAAGTTGCCTGAGACGACAGCGGCGCGATCCCCCCTTTTTGCCTTTTCAGTGCCCAGGACTCAACCAGGTGCTCAGCGCACTTGCGTCGGAGCCGATGGGGCACTCGATTTTCGTGACAGCCACGCCCAACTGCATTCTGTTTGCATGCATGAAATGTGGCTGTATATCGGAAGGAATGCGGGTAGATCATCTCCGTGCGGACTGCAAGGAACGCCCCGCCAATGACCACACTCGGTCCATTCCAAAGCGGGTCCGCAACGGACACCACCCGTCCCACCGACGTGGGAATGCGATTGTACTTGACGAGCCAATGCCTCTCTACGATCTTTTGCAACTGAAATATGCCACCTCCTGGGGCAGCGGCCGCACCAATGCAGAGGGGTGCGTAAAACAAGTCATCATCGCCCCCACTCGCACTCGCTTCAGCGAAGGTTGAGTCGTTGGGAGAAGCCAGCATCTGTATGCTGCACCCATCCCTGCTTACGACAGCAATGCTTCACAGGAGGATGAACAGGGGGCCTTCCAGAGCTTCCCGAAACCACCCTTTTGGAAGGCGATTTTGGAAGTTCTGAGGGGGGCGGGCTTCGGCGCACCCAGGATGGACAAAGACTCCTGGGAGTCGCTGGCCTGAGCGTGATGATGGGCAACAGGAGCCGGTGGCAGACCAGGCCACTGACAAACATGAGTCAACCATCTCACGGCATGCAACTGAGAAAAACGCTGCGGCCGCTGATCTTGAGGTGCAGGGGGACAATCTGCAGGGGGAGGAAAAGCAACAACAGCAGGAGGAGCAGCAGCCCCCCCCCCAACGGGGCATGCATTTCAACCAAGCCTTCGGGGGCAAACATGATGGTTGAAACACAACGGTTTGTGGTGTTGTTGTTTGGCCCTCGGGTTGGAAGTTGAATCCTGTCGGGACACTACGAAACCAGAAGGGAACCAAGACTGGGCCCTTACTGCGTGGGGTAGCTCTTTGTGCGAAACGTGCGCGAAAGTGGGGGCAGCATGTAAATGATATTTGTGCTCTAGAGTCGTGGGGCAACCCTTGCGGGCGTAATATTATAGGCGATGTAGTCGCCAATACCTGCTACCCATGCTCCACAGTCGTGGGGCGACCGAAGAGACAGTTGCAACTTATGTCTCACAGTCGTGGGGCAGCCCTTTGGGCGAAAGTGTTTAGTTTGTAGCTGATACTTGTGCTTCACAATAATGGGTAACTGTTACTTGTGCTCCACAATCGCGGGCAGGGCCAGGGGACAGTGATAACTTGTGCTTCACAGTCGTGGGGCAGCCCTTTGTGCGGAACATGTAGCTGATACTTGTGCGTCACATTCGTAGGGCGACCCAGGGTTCAATTGCAATGTATGCTTCGCATTCGTTGGGCAGCAATTTTGGGCGATAGGGTACGGGCCGCCTGATAGTCTATATTAGGGGCTATTCAGTTTCAGATTGCTGATACTTGTTCTGCTCAATCGTGGGGCAACCCAAAGGGCCCAATGTATCTTGTGTTTCACAATCGTGGGGCAACCCTGTAGGCGAAAATGTAGGGGCTACGTCGTAGCTCATAACCGTTACTTGTGCCGTTGCATCATCAGCAGCATTAGCGGCAGCATCGGCATCAGCAGCAGGAAAACAGGGAGGAGAGGACTGCTGAAGAGGGAGCGAGAACAGGAGTGCGCAGGAGTGCCGGGCTTGCGGGTCTGCTCGGATTTTAGCTGAACATCCAAGCCTTGCGTCGCGAGGCATCTCGGCCTGGCGCTTGTTCCTGGCCCGCGTCCTTTTCATTTCCCCCTGGCTGGTGCTCCTCCTGCTAATGTAATCGCCTACATCGTGCTTTGCAATTGCGGGCTCTTGTTCCTGGCCCGCGTCCTTCTTATTTCCCTCTGGCGGGTGCTCCTCCTGCTAATGTAATCGCCCATGTCGTGCTTTGCAATGGCGGGGCGGGCTGCGCCCAGATGCTATCTGCATGTCCGACCCCTTCCTACTGAAGATGACCGTGCTTCAAGTTCATCCTCTTCCTCCTCCTCCTCCTCCTCCTCCTCCTCCTCCTCCTCCTCCTCCTCCCCTTCGCGGTGCGGCTCTTCGACGGGAGGATAAGAGTCAATTATTTATGAAAATAAGCATGGGACTAACCTCTGTACGGGCCCAGCCGCGGTACGGCGCCGGTGTCATGCGGGTAACATGTGTTTCGCGGTCGGGGGGCGACCCACGGGCCCGGTAAAACTTGTGCTTCACACCCGTGGGGCAGTCCTATCCCTGTGGGTGGAAGAGGGTAAGCCACGTCATAGTCTGTAGCTGATACGTCTGCTTCTCATCCCCTGGAGGCGAACCGGGCATGTAGCTTCATGAAGAATGACCCAGACTCATTTGGACCATACAAATTCGTAGGGCACGATAATAATACTTTACCCGTGTAGTGGTAGTACGAGGGCAAGGTCTACTCGTAGGGCACGAGCATGGTAATACAAGTGACCGCCTGGACATCCCTCTTCCTCCTCCTCCTCTTCCTATTCCTCCTCCTCCCCCTTCTTCTCTTCTCCTCCTCCTCCCCCCTTCTCCTGCCCCCGTTCCCCCTCATCTTGCTTGTCCTCCTCCCCCCCCCCTCATCCTCCTTCTCCTCCTTTTCCACCCTCTCTTCCTTCTCGTCCTCCTTTTCCTCCTCCTCCTCCCAGACTACCAGGGGTGGGGACGTAACAGGAGACCTAAGTTAGGAAGGCCAGCAAAGGGAGAGGGGGTCTTGTTCTGCAGATGTCTCGTACCAAACCGCCCAGATTTATGATCCTCGACACGAAGACGGGGACCTGAGTGAGGCGACGCCTTCACCATGTTATTCAGGATAAGGGCTCTTTTACCCTCGAGGAGACGAGGATGGCCAGCGGGGTGCGCGACGAATCCCAGCAGCGGGAGTCTGGTCCCGAACCCCGTAGCGGCCGCTGTTGGGCAGGCGAGGCTTGCCCCCCCAAAAACACCGATCACGATGTTTTGCTCTGCCGTTCTCTTCCTCGTTGGGTGACCGCCCTGAGCACATGTACGGATGACCAGCACCTGCCAGACAAAAAAAGCCTGTCCAGCATTTGCCAACGGCTGTAACGCTGGCAGAGTGCGGTCGTTCTATACAGACATGCGTATGAGCACATGCAACACGGGCACCCACACACACCCACACACACACACACACACACATACACACGCGAACGCACCCCCACATGCACAACATAATCACCCCTCTCCCACCATGCAGCCGTCTGTGTCGACAAGCGCTGCGTGAGGTTGAATTCCAGGGTTGAAGCTGAATGAAAACTGCCCGCCTGATACAACAGTTGCGGTGGTCGATACACACACCGATCAATATATCGGCTGGTGATGCGCCATGGCCCATGGCCAATGATGCACCACAAGATTGCGTTTGATGCTCACACAATAGTTCGGAAACAAGCGATCTCCAGGGCGATGAACAAAACATGAATCATGGTCTTAGGGGTGACGCCAGGCGGGGACCGCTCTCCCACCGGCCAATTTATGATTTTCTAGCCCTTCCAATACAAACAGCTTCCGAGCTTCAAGGCGAGTAGGGTACGGACGAGTGGTGCAGGAAGATGCGCACTTTTCCATCGTCGCAGCGCTTGTAACCGAAGGTGTACTCGACAGTCGACACGTCCCCAGTGGTGGCACAGGTGAAGTCGTAGGTACCCATTGCAATGCCAATGCCACCCTTGAGTTCGATCTGGTGGTTCTTGTACACACAATCTGAGAAGCCCTTGCCCCCGTTGATCGCAAAACCACCGTCCTCCTTATAACCGTTCTCCACCGCGTCGTTGCCGACAAAATAGGACATCGCCTCCTCAGCCGTGGGCCGGAACGGGTACTCACGAGCCTTAGTCGGCTTGAAGAGCACGTTACCTTCACCATACGCGTAGAGCTTCCCAGCTGCCTCGGCAGCTGCCTGAACATAGTCGCCTTTGTCCTTGTAAACCTTCGAGATATTTTTGATAGCGCCAGCCCACGCATTTTGCACAGCGATGACTTCCTCCTCGGTGACTGGAGCGGGTGCAGCGCTGTACGGCACAGACGAGTGGTGTAAGAAGATGCGAACCTTCCCATCGTCGCAGCGCTTGTAACCGAAAGTGTACTCGACAGTCGACACGTCCCCGGTGGTGGCACAGGTGAAATCGTATGTACCCATGGCAATGGCAATACCACCGATAGGTTCGATCATGTGGTTGTTGTACACGCAATCGGCCCAGCCCTTGCCCCCGTTGATCGCAAAACCACCGTCCTCCTTATAACCGTTCTCCACCGCGTCGTTGCCGACAAAATAGGACATCGCCTCCTCAGCCGTGGGCCGGAACGGGTACTCACGAGCCTTAGTCGGCTTGAAGAGCACGTTACCTTCACCGTACGCGTAGAGCTCCCCAGCTGCATCCGCCGCTGCCTGGACGAAATCGCCTTTGTCCTTGTGGATCTTCGAGATGTTCTGGATGGCGCCAGCCCACGCATTTTGCACAGCGATGACTTCTTCCTTGGTGACGCCAGAGTCGTACGGCACTGAGGAGTGGTGCAAATTGATCCGCACCTTCCCCTCCGCGTCGAGGAAATAACCGAACGTATACTCTACCTTCACCTCGCCGCCTTCTGGGGTGGTGAAGAAGTAGTTGCCCATGGCCATCGCGGTGTTGCCTGAGGTGGTGATATCCACGTTCTCCCACCGGACGGCCTTCCAGCCCTTGATGGCGAAACCCGTGTCCTCAGAGCAAGCCCCGTTTATCGCAACAAAGTAAGACAGGGCCTCGTCGAAGGTGGATCGAAACTGAATCTCTGAGGCCAGAGTCGGCTTGAAGAGGACATCAGTGACGCCGTAGCCGTACAGGTTCCTGATGTGCTCTTTCGCGAGAAACGTGAAGTCCTCCCCGCTGGAATGCGCGGCGCTGATCTTCACGATTCCGTCGCCCCAGGCCTCCTGAGCTTCGAGCACCTGCTCCTTGGTGATGCTGCTGTTGAAAACGTACGTCGGCGCGGACGCGCCGCCTCGCCCCTTCGCTGCTGCAACCGCGCCAAGCAGCACCCCGAGCGCCAGAGACAGCACGGGCGCGCTGCTGCTGCCCAGCAGCTGCGCATACCACGGCGGGGGCGCGGGGGCCCTGCCGAAGAGCCCCAGCAGGCCACGCCTGGCCACGGACGAGCCCTCCGTGCGGCGAGCAGGCGGTGCCGCAGGCAGCGGTGGCCCCGCGAGCCCCGCCCCGGTGCGCGCCGCGGCGAATGCCCGCGCCTCGGCCTTCGCCGCCAGAGGCAGCCGCTGGGCGCTGAGGCACGCCGCCGCGGCGAGCAGGACAGCCGAAAGGGCGCGGGCCATGGCCCCGCAGCGCAATGGGCGGGCACGCGGGGCCCCGTCACTCGAGCGGCACCCTGTCGAAGCGGCCCGAGTCGAAATCGCCTGAGCAAAAATGGCTACGGAGCACGGAGCACGAATCTTGTTCGCAATGGGCAAGGCCTGCTCTTGACCTTCGTCTAAAGGATCTCTGTCATCGCATCGATCGCACCGGACGGAGGCAGCTGCGATGGCTGACGTGATTAGCACACTGGCTGGGATTGCGCACAGCGTGCGCAAACAAACAAAGAGCCTGGCCCGCTGCCGTGAGAGGGTTTTTGCGTGCGCGTGTTCTGCCCGTCGGGCGGGAGACGGCGGGATAATCAGCTGGGCGGGGTGGGCTATAGAAGGCTCTCATCAGCGACAAATAGACTCTCATAAGCGGTGAATGGGCTAGAAGGCTCCCATCGGCGATGAATGGGTCGATGCGTTCCCCCCAGAGAGAATTCCTCCCCTCACGCTGGGGCTGCCCATGTGGCCGCACATGAAATAAATATTTACCACCGTAAAGCCGGGAACTACACTGTGCTAACAAGAATCGGACATACGCTCGGGGGAGGGTCAAGCCTAGCAAGGGGGGCAGCACGAGCAAGGAAGGCTTTGCCTTTCAGGTTGGGCGACCTACCTTTCCTGAAGTAGGAAATATCTTCGTAAGCCTTGCTTGGGAAGGAGGAGGAGGTAAAGGCCACAACGAATGCAAGATCGGGACACAATTGGATCAAAATAACTCGGGGATCTGAGAAAACTGGAGGTTCTGAGGCAAGTAGCAGTCGCCGCGGCCTTCCCACATCGTTCCATTCCGAGAGCGTTCCGGGACGCCCTGGGGCGATGTACCCCGATCGCAGGCTTGCCTGAATCGGATCAAGGCGAATTGAGACAACGGCAACTCAACATCGGTCCCGGGAACCTTCCCGGGGTCCGAACGCACCAGTTGTCCAAGCTGCATGCACCGTGTCGACGATGAACTGCCTTTGTCTAATCTCGCCCTCGTCTCTGACTCAAGGGGCACAAGGGGAGTAGGAGGAGAGAGGAGGGACACTGCACGGCAACACGAGGCCGTCCTGAGTTGTGTTCACAGGGAGCGTCGACCCCCAACGGTCTCGACCCACTCTCCGGAATCTATGTGCCATCCCGGGTTATTTCTTACCTTACAGGGGCCCAGTAATTGATGGGCCTGTTTTCCACCACCACCACCATAAGTTGGAGTGGGAGGGGGTCCTCCTCCTCCTCCTCCTCCTCCTCCTCCTTCTTACCCCCTCCAACTTATGGTGGTGGTGGAAAACAGGCCCATCAGTAAGGGCCCCAGGAAGCAGAAGCATGCACACGAACTTGTTTGTCGGCAGCGAGGGCGGGCGCCAAACACGCGCTCGGACGGCTTAGGGGCCGCGCCGGAACACGGGGCCCACAGGTGCGGCTGGGCGGAGAGGAGGGCTGCCGCGGAGGGAGCACGCGGAAGGAGGCTGGCAAGAGACCACCCCATCGGGCACTCGTTCGCGGCTCGGCCAGGGTCTGGGGTGGTTGCGTGAGGGCGGCCATGCTGGATACACGTTGACAACTCTGTGTCGCTACACTGCAAATTATGGGCCACACGTTTATATCGCAGAGCGGGTGGGGGACCCGGGACTGGGCATGCCGTTCCTTGGCAAACAAAAAACTCCGACTTGCGGCCGCCGACGTCGCCGCGGCGACCACCAGAACCGACCCCGAAATTTGGTTTGGGGGCGCCGACCGTCCAGGTATTCCCATAGGCCTGCCGCGAAATTCTCGTTGAGCCAACGAATGTCATCAGAGCAGAAACAGTGTTCCCCAAACAGTGTTTGCCCTTCGAACGAACTGGGCCCGTAGGCGGCCTTGGCGGCCCCGTTCCCATCCGTCGCCGAACCCCGCACCATTTCTCCCAATAACAAGCCCGTTGGCAGGCCTGGCGGCCACGGTCTCGTCCGTCGCCGCCGCCCCGTTGCAACCACCCCCCGTTGCACTACAATCGCATCGCGTTGCACTCGCATTGGCATTGCATCGGTTTGCATTGGTTTGCATTACTTGCAATCGCATTACGTTGCGATTGCATTACATGGCATTGCAATCGCATTTCACTGCATAGCCTTGCATCGCATTGCAATGTTTTGTATTGCTCCACAGTGTGTTGCATAGCATCGCACTGCTTTGCAATCGCATTGCATGTTTGGCATCGCATTGCATTGCTTTGAAGAACTTTGCATTCAATTGCATTATGATGCACTGATTTGCAATCGCATTGTTTTGCACTTGCATTGCATTGCAATCGCATTGCTGTTGATTGCAATCGCATTGCGTTGCGTTGCTTTGCGTTGCCGTGCATTGCCTTCCAGTGCGTGCGTTGCGTTGCATTGCTTTGCGCTGTTACCTGTTGCTTTGCACTGCGTTACAATGCTTTCCGTTGTTTTGCGTTGCTTTGCACGTTGCACCCTATGTATTGCACCGTATGTTTTGCACGACCTACCTAGGCTGCACCGCCTAGATTAATCCCTATAGAGAACAAGACATGTCAATGTAAAATAAACACTGGCTAATATGCTTAGAGCATACAACGGGTTCATGAACACAATACGGTTTCAACCAGAAGTGTTCTGAGAGCATTGCGTACAAGCCACAAAAGGCTGTCGTAACACTTCTGAGTCTCGAAGAAGTCTGGAGACCTTTCTTATGTTTCGGCACTACCCCGTCTTATCCGCTGGGGTGGGGTGGGGGGGTGCATACCCATGGCCTGACCTTTTCGCTCTGATCAGCCCCACGCATGCCCCTGCGCGCACTGGTACGGCATACCCCCTTCGGCCCTGCGCACCCGACACGGTCAAGTTATCCAAGGGGGGCGGAGAGAGCGGGCGGGCCCTCTGGGCGTTGCTTCATGAGGGAAGGGGGGGGGGGGGGGGGGGGCGAAAAATGGGGAGGTGGGGGAGGGGGGGGGGAACGTGCACCTTTCGTGCCCCTTCCTGGCACAACAGGTGCACCTTCCTTCATCGACCCCCCCCCCCAGGTGCGCCAGGCGCCAGACCCTCCGAGAGGCCGCACTCAACACAGAATCTCGAGCGGACCCTCCGAGAGGCCGCACTTCTTGGACGCCCGCAACGGCCAGAATGCCCAGCAACAGAGATGATCCAAGACCGACAGCGGCTGCTGTTGGGAAGACGGTTTTCGGCCTCAAGGGGGCGACGTCCGCGGCGACACCGACCACAAGTCCTGCTCAAGAGGAGGAGGAACTGCTGTCGGCATCCGTGCTTTTTTTCCGTGAGGAGGTCCGTGCGGCGTCGGCGCGCGCAGAGGTCTTTGGCACCACGTCGATCGGTCAACCTTACATCGATCACGGCCTCGATCGTCCAAGGTCGAATCCGGTTGGGCCCACCGGTGCTACCGTGCCCATCAGTGCTTCCGGCTCGCAGAATTCGCATTGAACGCCTTCGCCTGCGTCGCTGGCGCGCAACCGCCGCAGGAATCTGCAACATCATCGACCTTCCTCTTTCTCCGCGCTAGCGATGCATGAATCTTCCGACCAGTTCGCCAGCTTCTGCTGGTCTGTGGCGGTCAAGCAGGAGGAGGAGGGAGGGGGGGGGAGGAGGACTAGGAGGAGGAGGAGGAGGAGGAGGAGGAGGAATAGGAGGAGGAGGCGGGGGATCAGGATGATGCTGATGCTGATGCTGCTGCTGCTGCTGCTGCTGATGAGGACGATGAGGACGATGATGATGATGATGATGATGATGATGATGATGATGATGATGATGATGATGATGACGATGCTGCTGGTGCTGCCGCTGATCATTGTGATGGTGATGGTGGTGATGATGAAGATGCTGATACTTATGATTCTGAGGCTGCTGCTGATGCTGCTGAAGATCATGATGAATATGAATATGATGATGATGATGATGATGATGATGATGATGGTGAGGATGATGATGATGATGATGATGATGGTGATGGTGATGATGATGATGATGATGAGGATGGGGATGCATCTGATGATGATGATGATGAAGAATATGATGATGAGGAGGAGAAGGATAAGGATGATGATGACGATGATAATGATGAGGATGCTGATGGTGCTGATGATGATGCTGCTGAGGATAACGATGATGCTGATGCCGACGCCGATGTTGACGCTGAGGATGATGATGATAACGAGCATGAAGACGACGAAGATGATGACGATGAGGATGAGGATGATGATAATGCAGTCGGCCTCCGTGCCCACTCTTCCCGTACCCCCTTCGACCGTGCGGACGCTCTGCCCCGAGAGCGGCGCCCGAACGCAGCGCGCGCCGGCCTCGGCCGCGAAGCGAGGTGAGGGCACCCGCCACTCCGAGGCGCCGCGGGCGAGGGCCTCGCGGGGGCCGGCAGGAGCATCGCTTCACCGGTCCCCATCCCCAACGGCGTGGCCTGGGCCCCACTGGCCGATTTGCCCCCCTGGGTGGGGGTATGGGCCGTCCCCTTCGGGTTTCGAGGGGCGCATCCTCAACCGGAGGAGCAATTTGGTGGGGGCCTCGAAGGGGATGGGGATGGGGGTCGGATCAACGATGCTGATGGCATGCCGGGCGCGCGAGGCGCGGCGCGGATGCCTCAAGGAGGACCCCGACAAGACGAGGCGAGGACGAGGATCGTTTCGGATATATATATATATATATGTATGTATATATATATATAGATATACATATACATTTCTGTTCATATGTAAACATACATGTATCGAGAATATCTGAGATCCCGCGGATCTGGGGGGCGGCTCGGGCGCCGCGGCCTCCTCATAGCGTTTCTCAAGCTGCTCTGAGAGCTTCCCTGAACGCTCAGGAACCGATTCACCCTCGCTCCGTCCGACCAGACAAGCGGTGCTTCGAAAAAAAGTCGAGACGGAAGCTTTCATCGTTTTCGGCCTCTCGGGCCCCTCACCGGGCTTCGGGGCCGTGAAACAACTGCTCGGGATGACACCTCGGTCGTGGGGAAGTTGTCGAGAG